GGGGGGACCTCAGCAAAGATGGAAAACTCCACTCTTTGAAGCTTCAGTCGGACAAATTATCATTAATACTGCAGGAACAAATTCTTTTATGGGCTCAGAATCAATTAGGCACCTTATTAATTTCACAGAGGGTTTTTTTTTCCATTTCTAATTTCTATGGTTCCAGAGTTAGACATCGCTCCCTGCCCACTTCCTGCAATAAATGTCCAGAGCTCTTTGTGTGACAACACTTGTAATGGAGCTGAAAGGAGCCTCTCGCCCCCACCACCAAACTTGTTGGGCTGAAATGCAATATTGTTAATAAAGTACAGTGGTACCTCGGGTTAAGAACTTAATTCGTTCTGGAGGTCCGTTCTTAACCTGAAACTGTTCTTAACCTGAAGCACCACTTTAGCTAATGGGGCCTCCCGCTGCTGCCGTGCTGCTGCCGCATGATTTCCGTTCTCATCCTGAAGCAAAGTTCTTAACCCGAGGTACTGTTTCTGGGTTAGCGGAGTCTGTAACCTGAAGCGTCTGTAACCCAAGGTACCACTGTAATAGAAAATGCTGTCCACCCATTAATGCCATTAGGGCTTCTTTGATCTCAGAGACAAGGGAGAAAATGTCCGCATTGTGGAATGCTTCCTATGATGGAAAAAACAACAACCCACATCATTGCTTGGAACAAGAATTCTTTGCTGTTCTTGCTGGTCCCCTTCCCACTACCCTTAAGACCCATCAAGGCCACACAATCAGATGCTGGCTTTTCAAACAACCACACAAAATGAACACGGCATTTGCACAAGCCAGGAGCACAAACCATTTTAACTGTACAAAATGGGCTGGGTTATAGATTACACTGCTTAGCACAGCTCTCCTTGTGGTCTGATAGTGGGATATTTATGATTTGTATGCTGCCCATCTGACTGGGTTGCCCCAGTCACTCTGGGCAGCTGCCAACAATTATAAAACCACACTAAAGCATCACACATTAAAAACTTCCCTATACAGGGTTGCCTTCAGATGTCTTTTAAAAGTCAGATAGCTGTTTATTTCCTTGACATCTGCTGGGAGGGCGTTCCACAGGACAGGCGCCGCTGCCGAGAAGGCCCTCTGCCTGGTTCCCTATAACCTCACTTCTTGAAATGAGGGAACCACTAAAAAGACCCACAGAAAAGGTTTTGATGGGCCATCTAAGAGGAAACTTGGGTCTGGGCAGACAGAGTAACTGGGTGTGAAATGGCAGGAAAGGAGAGTCTTTTAGCAAGGTGTGCTGGGAAGATGAAGGGGGAGAACAGGCATGGTGGATGAAGTCTGGCTGGGAAAGATGCCTTTGGTTCCACTACTGCACTGCTGTTGGAAACCAGTCTTGCTTGAGATAACCATGCTGTAAGAACTGGACTCCCTCCATGCAGACGGAAGGTGTAAATAGGTGAATAAACCATATTTCTTAAAGCTATAACAGTCTCTGCCCTGTCTCATTTTCCCCAAGGAAAACAGACCCTGGGTGAGTGCCTGGAACCCTCTGGAATTTTGCAACCGCTTGGTAGAGAGTGGGGGTGGCACCCAACCTCTGTAGCAGTACAGTGGTACCTCGGGTTAAGAACTTAATTCGTTCTGGAGGTCCGTACTTAACATGAATCTGTTCTTAACCTGAAGCACCGCTTTAGCTAATGGGGCCTCCCGCTGCCACCACACGATTTCTGTTCTCATCCTGAAGCAAAGTTCTTAACCTGAGGTACTATTTCTGGGTTAGCAGAGTCTGTAACCTGAAGTGTCTGTAACCTGAAGCGTATGTAACCCAAGGTACCATTGTATTGATTTTACTGTACACCGCTTAGGCACATTAGTTCAAAGCACTATAAAATCATCATACTCATCCCTTTAACAATGACAAGGGATCACTCATTTGTGTTTTTACACTGTTCATTCTTCCATAAACAGTTGTGAGAGGACTCCATACTTTTAAATCTGATTTTATGTAGCATAAGAATTCATACAGTCCTTCATATGAATCCATTCTAGGTTTTGAGAGCCCCTGAACTGGGCTTCGAGAGAAGAGTGTCACTCTACGCTGCTGGAGGACTAACTCTATGGCAAAGTAAGACCTACTGAAAAGGAAGCACTTCTTTCTTTCTTTTGTACAGATACCTTGCCCTGAGGATTGTGCCCATTTAGAGCTCTGTAGCATCAATAGAAACTTCATTAGAGACCTTGTGCTGTTTTGTGTTATTTCCCTCTCCCTCTCTTTTCTATCCTCCACCAGTGTTGTAAAAGATGACTGAGTTAATATGTGAAACTATAAATAAACACTTCTCTTTTTCATCCACCCGGCTCCTCTCCTTTCCCCCCAGTTGCGAACCGAGTCTATTAGGTTTGAAGCCATCATTTCTGCTTTGCATAATTGACATCATTATCTGTCAGGTTGCTCAGCTTAGGCTGGCAGTCATTATGAGATCATTAGAAAAAAGGGTTGTAATAAGTTCAGAAGGCCAATCGGCTGCATTCTAATCACTGGAGAAGAGAGTGCTGATAGGGGCCTCAGGGAGAAAGTATTGAAGCAGAGAGAGGATTTTTAATGACCAAATCAAGTTAGGAAAAAGCTCCACCTGTGCCTCAGTGAACAGGATAATTTCAGCTTGGAGCCTGGGCCAATGCAGCGCTCTTCCTCTCCAAATCTCACACCTTCTGACTGATGGAAAGAGGAGAGGAAAAGGTGTTTGGGTAGGACGAAGCTTGGGGGGGGGGCCCTCTTTCGTCTTAATAATTGAATGCAAAGTCTGCTTTGAGCTCAGAGATTATTAGGAATGAAAGGATGGGGCATTTCACTTGGTTGGCAGACAGCAACAGCTGGATATTGGGACGGAGGTCCCAGTTGTTGTAAGTCTCTAAATAAATTGCCTTAATGGTTATGTAGCATATAGATGAAGGGTCCAGATGAGATCTGAACATTTTGTACCTGTCATCTTAATTCCCTAGAAGGCTTCCATCTTCACTAGGCTAGGGTTGCCTTATTTCCAAAAGTGAGGAGGGCAGGCGAAGTTGTTGAGCTTTTTGAGGGAACGCCTACCCCCCCCAAAAAAAATAAGTTAGTTTGTTTTTTAAAATCAGCCTACTTGTCATACATCTGGGTTTCCCCTTACATTTTTCCTATTCAGCAGACGCCATTTTGTAACCTGATTTCCGGATGTGTCCAGGAAAAAACAGACGTATGGCAGCCCTAACTAAACCCAGATATTAATGGACTCCGACTGCCATCATCCCCAACCAGCATGGCTATGGGGACTCAGCTACATTGGCAAAGAAAAAACGATTTATATGTGTTATATATGTGATATAACAGTGAGCCACCAGATGGTGCTGTGGAGTCCCATTTTTCTCTACCTGTTTTCCCTGTTTAAATTTACAACGCGTTGAAGAAGAAGAAGAAGAAGAAGAAGAAGAAGAGGAGGAGTTTGGATTTGCTATCCCGCTTTATCACTACCCTAAGAAGTCTCAAAGCGGCTAACATTCTCCTTTCCCTTCCTCCCCCACAACAAATACCCTGCGAGGTGAGAGACTTCAAAGAAGTGTGACTGGCCCAAGGTCACCCAGCAGCTGCATGTGGAGGAGCGGAGACGCGAACCTGGTTCTCCAGATTGCAAGACTACTGCTCTTAACCACTACACCACACTGGCTCTCACTGAAACGCTTCTTTGATGTGTTTAGATCCAGCCTTGGTCAGGCACAAAAGGGGTTGTAATCCAATGTCATCAAGGAGAGCACCAGGTTTCCCACCATTAAGCAGCCTGGTTGTTTGGGTCTTGGCTGCTTGGGAGTTTAGTCCAGCAACACTAAGAGGTCACCAGATTGTGAGTGACTGAAGGAGAGAAGACTGCAATAAAGGAGAGAAGAGACCCCGGCATGCATCTGTCTCTAATGGATGGAACATTGAATTGAAAAACCTTTCTCCGGTCAGCATCTCATTATTAATTAGTGCCCATTTACTCTGCAGTGGAAAAACAAAATATTGAGGGAGAGGGAACGAGAGAAGGAAGTAGAGGGAAAACTAGACTCCTAATGCTTGGGAATAAATGACCTTTTCAGTGGCGCGATTTCAACACATCTGAGATAATCCGAAATATGATTACTATGGAATTACTACTAACAGTGAATATTGTAGGAGGATATTTGGTGTCCCCCCCCCCTTCCACAGGCCATTCTTTCACTATTACGGGAAGGCTACTGGGCAGCTGGTTTTTGTTTGTTTTTAATGGAAACCTTTGGCTTTTTCTGCAACAAAGGATGTGATTTTAAAAAGGAGACAGATGGTAACATTTTGCCCACCTCTCTCCCTCCTTTCCAACACTCTCATATACTACAGTTTCTGATTTATTTTGCTCAAAAATTAGGTTATAGGCTGCCAGAGTGCAGGCTACATTGTGTTAAATCAATATATAAAAATAGCCAGCACGCAAATCAATAGCGCACCTACTAATTGCTTGGATGTGGATATTTCTCCCTCACTTTTTCACACCAAAGGGTTTGTTTCTTTTAAGATTCTCGAGACATCTTCCCCCATTCATGCATTGGCTGAAACTGGAGATTCCCCTGGATAAGCTTATCCCCCTGGGAATTCCCTTTACTTATCTTACCAAATTTCTTTTAACCTCCCTTAGAATTCCAGCACATGTTTTGAATTCTCCCCAAATCCTCCTGAACATCTCCTTTCATTGAAATTCCATGGGAGATATATGTGAAGTCCACCCAATGAATTTTGGCTACACTCAAAATGCCTTCAAGCATCTGCCTTTGAATTCTGTCCTAAAACGAAAATCTGGAAGTATCTCCTCCATCACTAGTGAATGAAAATATCATATGCACGGAAACACTGTGTTGAAATTCACAAAAGTCATGGTATTCGTGGCACAGCAAAAGTCTTATTGCATGAAGATAGTTTGACAATGGCAGATCCTCCGAAATAAAGCAGCATTTTGTTATCTTCGTTGATGTGAAATTTGATGGCAACTGTTTACCTAGGTATGCAAGCTTCCCAGCAGAGCTGGATCTTGACCTATGGAACTGATCGTTCTTGCAGCATTTGCAAATTGTGAGATAGTTTGAGGCCCTCCTTGACTCAACTTCAGAGGGAGGCTATAGAAATCTCAGCCAAGCCCTTTCCTGGGAGGCTGCTGTGTTGCAAACCTGGGCTGGATCTAGACACATTGAAGAAGCATTTCAATTAAACACGTTGCAAACTTTGTGTGAGAAATCGGGTTAGCAGAAACGGAACTCCACAATGCCATCTGGTGTCACAGTGTTAAACAATGCATATAAAGCGTTTTTTCTTTGCTAGTGTAGCTGAGTCCCTGGAGTTTCCAACTCCCAGTTTCACTTCACCAGCACCCTTCCTCCTTTTTTTTTTTTTGTTCCCTGGATTTCCAAAGGCAGCACACCTAGCAGTGTCTGCTTGTTTGGTAACCTCAGACATTGCTTAGGGTTGGACTAGATGACGCTTTGGGTTCCTTCCTACTCTACAAGTCTGTGATTCTAAGACAAGGTTTCTAGAGCTAATTTAGGCCTCATCTGCAGTGTGTACAGTATTTAAAGCAGCATCATGGCACCTTCAACCAGGCATAGGTAAACTCGGCCCTCCAGATGTTTTGGGACTACAACTCCCATCATCCCTAGCTAACAAGACCGGTGGTCGGGGTGATGGGAGTTGTAGTCCCAAAACATCTGGAGTTTGCCTATGCCTGCCTTAAACAGTTGTGGGTGCCCCAAAGCAGCCTGGGAGCTGTGGTTTGTTACGGGTGCTGAGAATTGGTAGGAGACCTCCTGCATCTCCCTCACAGAGCTCAAATTCCCAGAGTTCCTTGGGAATAGGGATTAATTGTTCACCCACTCTGGGAATTGTATCCCTGTGTGGGAAATAGGGGTCTCTGAACAACTCTCAGTACCAGTGGGTTTTTCCCTGGGGTACTCAATGGTACGCAGTACTGGCACCCTTTATTGCCAATGTTAAAAGTGTTGAACTTACTTACTGTTGCGTACTGGTACCTATTTGCCTGAAGGTGCAAGGTCCGTGTTCAAATCTCCACTCACCAATAAAGGTTACTGTGTCACCTTTTGTTGAGCCACCATCTCTTAGCCTGACATACTTCAAAGGGTTGTTGGGAGGATCTTATGGGATGTAATCCATTGGTACAGTCAAATGCAATATTCCTCCCCCTGCATGTGACCTGGGAGATGGGTGTGGCCCTGGCTGACTCCACAAAAGAGCCAAGACACGCAGCCATTGTCTCAGTTGCAGTCTTGATTCTTTGCAGTTTTGTCTTGTCATGTCTTGCTGATCTTTTGCTGCCATGCTGCTCTCCTGCAGCCATTTTGTTGTCTTACTGTAATTTTGCTGTCTGCTGGCTCTCAGCCAGCAGCACATGAGTTCAGTCTCCCTATGAGATGAACTCACACAGTTTCTTTAAGTAACCACTAAGTAAAGCCTTTCCCTTCAGGGATCAAATCGTGAACTGGAATGTGAGTAAACTTTCTGATACTTTACTCAGAAAGACTCTTGTGTCTTTATTCTTTTAAGAGAGATTAAAGTGGACACCAGGAAATAATCTTAACTAAGAGATTCAAATGAATCTGCAAACTAGATTTTAGCTATATTGAGGGGAATTTGCTCTGCTACATCACTCACTAGTGTGAGTGAAGGAAGGATAATACTTATTCAATATATCCTTTCCTACTATCCTTAACATTGCCACAGATTTAATGGGGAGAAGGACTGATAAATACTGCCTTGAGGAGGCCTGCATGATGATACAGTGGTACCTTGGCTCCCAAACGGCTTAGTTGTCAAACAAATCAGCTCCCAAATGCTGCAAACCCGGAAGTAAGTGTTCTGGTTTGCAAAGGTTTTTCGGAAGCTGAGTGTCTGACGTGGCTTCTGCCAGGAAGCTCCTGTAGCCAATCGGAAATCACACCTTGGTTTTTGAACTGTTTTGGGAGTCGAACGGACTCCCGGAATGGATTAAGTTTGAGAACCAAGGTAACACTGTAATTTTAATGCCACCTTTAAAAAGATCAGACCAAAGCCAATCTAGTTCAGTACATTGTCTTCCCAGCAGCTGACCACCATGGGGAAACCAATAGACAGGACCCAAGTGCATTTGTTATGTTCCAATCAGAGTGAAAAGAGGGACGCGGGTGGCGCTGTGGGTTAAACCAGAGCCTAGGACATGCCGATCAGAAGGTTGGCGGTTCGAATCCCCGCGATGGTGTGAGCTCCCATTGCTCAGTCCCTGCTCCTGCCAACCTAGCAGTTCGAAAGCACGTCAAAGTGCAAGTAGATAAATAGGTACCACTCTGGCGGGAAGGTAAACGGCGTTTCCGTGTGCTGCTCTGGTTCGCCAGAAGCAGCTTAGTCAAGCTGGCCACATGGCCCGGAAGCTGTATGCTGGCTCCCTCGGCCAATAAAGCGAGATGAGCGCCGCAACCCCGGAGTCGGTCACAACTGGACCTAATGGTCAGGGGTCCCTTTACCTTTACCTTTAATCAGAGTGAAAAGAGAGTTTTCTTAGTTCTCATGTATCCCATTTCATTTCATTTCATTTCATTTCCCTTGATTAAAAATAAATAGAGTTTTTGTATTTACCTCGATAGCTCCGGTTAAAACAACAACAAGCAGCAGATGCTGAAAATAGTTCCCTGGTGGAATGGAAATTAAAAACAGTGTTTGTATGTGTGTGGCCTGGTCATCCCACTCACCCCACTTGAAGTGTGTATGAAAGAGAGCTATCATCATCATTATTATTGTATCGGGAAGTTTTTAGTGGTTTTTAATGGTTGATGTTTTATTACATTTTTATATGTGCTGGAAGCCAACCAGAGTGGCTGGGGAAACCCAGGCTGGATCTAGACACATAAAAAAAAAGAATTGTTTCAGGAAAATGCATTGTAAACCTCATAGTGGGAAATCTCATTGGTGAAAGTCGGGACTCCACAGTGCTATCTGGTGTCACAGTGTTATAACACATATAAAATGTTTTTTCTTTACTAATGTAGCTGAATCCCCAGCCAGATTGGCGGGGTATAAATAAAATACAGTCATACCTCATGTTACATTTGCTTCATAATACATTTTTTTAAAAAAATAATTTTATTAAAGTTTCAATCAAAAATTAAACAACAAAGAAAGAAAAGAAAAACATCAAAAAAGATACACAAATACACAATACAAATCTCAAAAAGAAAATAAAAAAACAAAAAACAATAATCAACAATAAAAAAAACAACATAACAATTTAAAAACAATATCTCTTTTCCATTTCCGTTTTTAAATTTACTTATTTTCTGGACTTCCTCATACCTCCCTCTTTTGTATTCCAATCCAAATTGTTTGTCCAGCAATTTCTTTTCCACTTTTTAATCCCAATCTTTAATTTTAATATAATATTGAAATATATAACTTCAACTTCTTTAAACCTAATCTTTAGTCTTAATGTAATGTAACATTAAAATTTTACCTCTTAATTGTCAAATTTCCATTTCATTAAACGTCTTTAATCCTAATCTTTAGTCTTAGTCTGTTATTAACCTTAACCTGTACAGCTGGAAACCGCTTATTTTCAGTCCAACATCACTCTAACATTCTTTAATTTTGCAATGTTTCTGAAGATAGTCTTTGTATTTCTTCCAATCTTCCTCCACCGACTCTTCTCCCTGGTCACGGATTCTACCAGTCATTTCCGCCAGTTCCATATAGTCCATAAGTTTCATCTGCCATTCCTCCAGCGTGGGAAGTTCTTGTGTCTTCCAATACTTTGCGATGAGTATTCTTGCTGCTGTTGTTGCATACATAAAGAAAGTTCTATCCTTTTTTAACACCATTTGGCCGACTATGCCCAGGAGAAAGGCCTCTGGTTTCTTAGGGAAGGTATACTTAAATACCTTTTTAATTCATTATATATCATTTCCCAGAAAGCCTTAATCTTTGGGCACGTCCACCAAAGGTGAAAAAATGTACCTTCAGTTTCTTTACATTTCCAACATTTGTTATCGGGCAAGTGATAAATTTTTGCAAGCTTGACTGGGGTTATGTACCACCTGTATATCATTTTCATAATATTCTCTCTTAAGGCATTACATGCCGTAAATTTCATACCTGTGGTCCACAACTGTTCCCAGTCAGCAAACATAATGTTATGTCCAACGTCCTGTGCCCATTTAATCATAGCCGATTTTACCGTTTCATCCTGAGTATTCCATTTCAGCAGCAAGTTATACATTCTTGACAAATTCTTAGTTTTGGGTTCTAGCAATTCTGTTTCTAATTTTGATCTTTCCACCTGGAAGCCAATTTTCCTGTCCAATTTAAATGCCTCCATTATCTGATAATAATGAAGCCAGTCTCGCACTTTGTTTTTTAGTTTTTCAAAACTCTGCAATTTCAGTCTATCTCCGTCTTGTTCCAAAATTTCCCAATATTTCGGCCATTTGACCTCCATATTGACCTTTTCAAGGCTTTCGCTTCCATTGGTGACAGCCACCTTGGGGTTTTGTTTTCTAGCAAATCCTTATATCTTAACCAAACATTAAATAGCGCTTTCCTGACAATGTGGTTTCTAAATGCTTTATGTGCTTTGACCTTATCATACCATAAATATGCATGCCATCCAAATACATTGTTAAAACCTTCCAAGTCCAAAATGTCAGTGTTTTCAAGAAGTAGCCATTCTTTCAACCAGCAAAAAGCTGCTGATTCATAGTAAAGTTTGAGGTCTGGCAGGGCAAATCCGCCTCTTTCCTTTGCATCCGTTAGAATTTTAAATTTTATTCTGGGCTTCTTGCCCTGCCAGACAAATTTAGAAATATCTTTCTGCCACCTCTTGAAACAATCCATTTTGTCAACGATCTGCAAAGTTTGAAACAAAAACAACATTCTAGGCAATACATTCATTTTTATCGCAGCAATGCGGCCTAGCAGTGAAAGCTTCAAATTTGACCAAATTTCTAATA